TCGATCTATTTGAAGAAAAACAGCCCTGTTTTTCTCGTCTTTGGGGTTAGGGGTTGGGGGGAGCTGGTGGGTGAGGGAAAGGAAGACCTTCTCTTTGTGTCGAGAGACTAAAGCCGTCACAGGAAACTAGATTAAAACTGGAAAACAAGTCCTAACTGGTTCCAGCAAACACGTTCAACGTTAAGTGGGGGGTATTTTCTATGGTGGTTGGGCGGCTGGTGTCTTTTGCCTTTTGTTTGATTTGACTGTGTATTTTCGCCTTTTGTCTCTTAATGACGATCACACCATTGCTATATCCAGAGCAGTAAACAGTCCTCAGCGAAGCTGCCTTTTTGCCTACCCAACCCTGGAAAGTTTGCAGAAGTGGAAGGAGCAGAACGTGAGGGTGTAACTTACAAAAAGGTAACAAGAACAAAGACACCACCATAACTCCCAAATTTCCCAACTAAATCAAAAAATATATATGTTTTTACAATAACGTCTCCAAAACCACCGCCCAGCTTGATCTTCTAGACTCCATGGCACCGGGCTGAGCGGGTAAGTAAGAAAAATAAAAGTGCCTTTTGCCCCTTCGAGGAAACCCTTTTGCAGGCCAAGCAAGGGCTGCGAGTGTTTGGGAGCTGAGGGGAGAAGGAGGATTCTGGAGCATTGTATTTGGCAGCCGGAGCGGGCAGTGGGCGGGGGGTTGGGACACGGAGGGCTCTTCGGGCCCCTGTGCCTCTTCTGCCCCAAGGGCGAGAAGAGGGGCTCCGCAGCGACCCTCGGGGGCTCATGGAGCCGCCTGCCTTCGCCCCCCTCGCTCTTCCCAGGTCTGAGCCTGGATGGGGAGAAGAAATTGAAGTGCTTTGGAGACGGGGGGCTTAAAAGACGAGGGAGCCTCATCGCCCAGCCTTTGGTCCTCTTTCCCTTTCGATCGTGAGGATTCCGCACCCCGAAGCCGGCTTCTCGGAGCTCCGGGGTGCGCCTGCGCTGGCAACGCGAAGGAGGACAAAAGGCCGGCGTCCATGTTGGCACCATGACGCAGCATCTCCGCCTGCAGCCCGGCGCTCCTGTCCTCCTGGCCGCGCTCGCTCCTCCTCCCAAACACCAGTTTTCTTTACAGGCTTCGAGCCCGTCGCGGCTGGGCTGGGCTGGGCTGGACTGGCGGGCGGGCCCGGCCGGGCAGGGCTGCGGTGCTAATGGCGGCGGCTCTCCCTCCTTCCTCGTTCCCTCCGTCCCCCCGGTCGTGGGGAGCCCGGAGCAGGAGGCGGGCCTGCGGCCAGGTCGGGCCCCGAGAGCCCGCGGAGCGCAGCGGTGGCGACCCGGTCTCGGGAGCCGTTTCGGAGGCCGTGGGCCTCGGGGGCGTCGCGCGCCGCGTCTCCCGCGCTCGCCTCAGCCCGGCGCGGCGGCCTGACGGGCGCCATTTCGCGCGCTGCCCGTGGCTGGGGCGGTGGCGGCCGCCGCGCGCCAGGCGGGAGAAGCGGCCGGGGGAGGGGGGCTGGGCGACCCGGAGGCCCACGCGGGCACCAGGAGGCCTCGCCCGGGCCGCTTCCCCCTTTCCTCTTTGTCCCGCGCGGGCGCCCGCAGCCGAGGGCCACGGGGTCGGCAGGACCTCGAGGCCGCCCCGGGTCCCACCGACTCCTCCGGAAGCCGCGGCCCGGCCTGGCCCTGACCCCAGGCCGCCCCCGCTGCCCACCCGGCTCTGGGCGCCCGGGCCCGACCTCCCAGTCGCCCTTTGAGATCCGAACCGGCGCGGGACGGGGGGTCGCCCCCTTTGTCCCCACTCAGGTCGTGAGGCCCTCGGGGTGGCCAGAGACGCCCCGTTGGGTCGCCCAGGGCGCAGCCTTCCTGCCCAGGTTTCCAGGCAGGAGGTGGGGGAAGCCTGGGAAAACGGAGGGGGGCCCCCCGGATCCCCCGAGGCGCGGGGCTCCGGGCGAAGCCTCAGATCTCCGGCCCTTCCCGGGGAGAGTGCGGGCGGGGCGGGCCTTTGGAAATGCAGATGAGCCGCCGCCCGGGCCCGGGCTGAACTGTCTGACTCAGCCGCCCCCGGCCGCCCGGGCCGCTGGGGGTGGGGCGATGTCTGGGGGGCTCCCTTTCAGCCCCGGAGCCCCCGTCCACTGTGCCTTCGGCCGGTCACATCTCTCTCCCCCCACGCCCTGATCCGCCCTCCACCTTCCTCCCCTCCAGGTTCTGGGCCAGAGAAGGGGCGACAGCCGGGCACCCCCCGAATGGACAATTTTTCCTTCTGTCGACGGCAGGGGCAGGCCTAGTTTGACCCTGACAGTCCTCCCATTAAGGTAGGTGTGAGTCCTTGCCCAGACCGTGAGGGAGATTTGGGGGGCTCTGGCCTGCAGCCCAGGGAGGGCGGAACCCCAAACCCGCCGGGCTGGTTCTGCGGCCCCGCCCCCCCAGCTGCGAGCGCTTAGGGCCGCCTGCTGGGCCGCCAGGGCCATCCATCCCCGCCTGTCAGCTTCTGTTGTCAGGCATTTGGGGCGTGCAATTCTCTGCCGAATTTAGCAGCATACGAGAGGCTCCACTTGCAAGTATTTCCCAGTTGTGTGTTTTTCGGCGGGGGGGGAGGGCCCTGGGTGCCTCCTACTTCTAAAAGACACAGGTCACTGCCAGAAAGCCCAACTGTGCTGTGGCCTCCCTTCCAGCCGTCCCCGTGGGGCATTTGGGGTGACAGTGTGAGCCATCCTCGGATGTCTGGCTGCTAGGGAGGCAAAGAACAGAGATCCGGGGTCCCAGCCAGCTTTCTTTATGAAAGGGCCTTCCTTGACGCTTCACCACCTTCCTGGGATTCTTGTTTTCTTCTCCAGTCCCCAGATGGGCAGGCCTGTATATAAGCCTTAGTGTTTAGAACCGGACAAAGCTGGATTTGAAACCTGGCGAGCCATTGAACAGCTTATGGCCTTGCGTAAGCGGCATAGCCTCCAAGCCTGTTTCTCCATCTCCAAAAACAGGGCTAGATCAGTGATTCTTAGTCTGGAACCGGCATCAGAATCACACCCGAAGGGGAACTCATTGAAAATGGACCACCGGGCCTGGTGCCCGAGTGTCTGATTCAGTGGGTGGGTCCTGAGGACTGGCATTTCTAACAAGTTCCCAGGTGAGGCTGATGCTGTGGTCAGAACACGTTTTGAGACCCCAGCCTGGTAACACCTGGGATTTTGACGCAGAAGTGCCAAGTTCCACGCTTGGCACATAGTAATTGATTTCATTCTAACACTAGCCGACTTCACATACTGAATAGTTTCCCATCTCAGTGTTTGAGAAGCTCCACAGCTGGAGATGGCGGCCCTTGGTCTCGGACCCCCCCATGTGATCTCTGCTTTGTGATTGCGTTGATGAACCATTTGCATCCAGGTGCTCCAGATCACACCACTCCCCTATTTGGGAGGTGTGCCCCACTCCTGCTGTGAGGGCTACACTGAGCTCTGGGGACCTGTGGGGATAAACAGGGAGACCTTGCTAAAGGTATCTTGGTGCTAAGGGAGATAGTTCGCCGTGAGCTAGGATCTCGATAGTGCTGGTGACCTTGGGTGAGTGTCCCCCTTTAAAATGATAAGGATGCCTGCTGGAAGGGGTGGGTGGGAGGATTAAGTGCCTTAAGGAGGCCCTCCTCCCAAACTTTTAGTTGGCCTTCCTTGTGATTGTGGTTATTGCTGGGAGTGGCTGCAGGGGGTGGGCGCTGGGCTGCCTCAGAGCTCCCCCGCCCCACCAGTCCACCTGCGGAAGCATGTGTCCCTGCCTCAGGGCAAAGGGGAATCTAGCGCTCCCGCTCCCCGGGAAGGCAGCCCATGCGGTTCTCCTCTGGAGTGGTTGAGTCCAGCTGGAGGTAGAGGCCTTTCCCCAGCCGCACAGGCTGTTCCATAGTGGGGTCAAGATTTGGGTCACACACCCATGATCCGGGGAGAAGTGACTCGCCCAAGGTCACAAGGCCACCACCAGTAGAGCCAGGATGGGGTTCCAGGTGGCTTGACTTGGCAGCCAGCGCCTGTGCCCATGGCACCCCCTCACCCCAGCTGTCTGGGTTATTTTGGGCTTCCTCCCGTGCCAGCTGTCTGCTGGCATCCCTGCCCAGGACTGTCTGGTTGGAAGTAACCGGCGTGGTGCTGTTGGCTCCTCCTCTGAGGGCCAGGGCTGGGTCTTCAATCCCCGATGAGCTGTCCTGGGTCCAGCTTCTTTGCTGGGGGGGAAGGGTGTTCCTGCCCAGACTCCCCTCTGCACAAGTACAGCAAGAGGGCGAAAGCACCTGATAAAAATTGAGGTTCACATTGTTAATGTCCCAAAAGCCTCTTCTTCTATACTCCCTGAAACCTGTTTTACATTTGGCTCTGCAGAGTCTTCGCTGCTCTCTGGGTGGGGTCTTTACTCCCCACCTGCTTTGGATAATTAAGTAATTGACGTACGTTTCTCTCCCAGCTGCACCCTGGAGGGCTCCAGCCAGTTTCTCCCCTCCCTGGATCCAATCAGGGAGCTGTTGGGTGCTCAGCTGTGGTCTGGATGTGGTTCTCAGCGTGGTGTCGGGACCCACCTGGCTAGACTGTACCCCTCTCCCTGTACCCTCTCCCTGTGCTTTGGTCCCTTTTCTTTGTCCCCCCACCATTACCTCCTGGGGCAGGGAGGGTGGGGCAGTTTGTCCTCTTGCTGCTGTTCCTGCTGGTCCCTCGAGGGCGCCCCGCCCACCGGTCACCCAGCGAACGTGGGGCGGGGCTGCTCCTGGCGCCCGGCCCTGAGGCCTGCAGAGAGAGGGCCACGCCAGCGGAAGGGCCGGCCAGGAGGTGGCAGGACTTGCTTTACTACTGAGTCGCTGGCGTCCCCGCCTCTTCCGGCCCCTCCGCCCGGAATCCTAGTGCGGAACGTGACCTTTCGGACCCTCTGGGTGGAGACACAGCCTCTGCCTAGGCTGTGCAGTGAGGCGGCCCCACCATCTCAAGTCGCCTGGCCCAGTGCGTCTCTAGCTGGCATGTGACCTCCAGCAAACTCCTGCACCTGAGCGCTGGGAGGAGCAGGTCCGGCAATAGGCAATAATTTTTTTTTTTTTTTTTTTTTGAGATAGAGTTTCACTTTTGTTGACCAGGCAATGGTGCATCTGGGCTCACCGCAGCCTCCGCCTCCAGAGTTCAAGCGATTCTTAGCCTCAGCCTCAGAGTAGCTGGGATTACAGGCATGTGCCACCATGCCCGGCTAATTTTGTATTTTTAGAGACAGGGTTTCTCCATGTTGGTCAGGCTGGTCTCGAACTGACCTCAGGTGATCCGCCCGCCTCGGCCTCCCGAAGTGCTGGATTCCAGGCGTGAGCCGCTGCGCCCGGCAGACAATAACGTTCTGAGTTGTTGCTGAGTCTGGCTTTTGTGAGGGGAACTTTTAGCACTCAAGGAGTGGCCTTGCCTCTGGCCCGTCCCCAAGTGCTCATGGGCAGCCAAGTTTGGGGGACTGCTCGGGCTTGGTAGATGTACTTGCCAGGCCAGCTCCCGTCCCGGGGACCTCAGGGAGTAGCTTCATCCCTGACGGCTCAGTGTCTCCTGTCTCATGTGGGTGGCCCCTCTGCAGGGTTCTCAGGCACCCAGGGAAGTGGGTGCCACAGCCTCACTGGGGCTGGCTGGGCTTTGTTCTGACAACACAGCAGTGGCTAGGCCCCTGCAGCTCTCCGGGGCTCGGTTTCCCTGTTGGCCGCACTATGGCGTAGGCCCCGGTGTGGACACCGATGAGCTGACCCCCCCACAAATACCACTCGGCCGCTCCCCCAGGCTTCAGTGACCCAAGAGCCCTTGTGTGAAGAACCAGCTTAAAGAATCTTTCTTGCCTTCTCAAACTCCAGGAATTCCTGGTGACTGGAAGGGGAGTGACACGGGTCCTCAACCTCTAGCAGGTAAGGGAGCTGCCTCCTGGGTGGGCGTGCCCAGTTCCTCAGCGGGCCCAGCGGGGCCCAGCCTCCGAGGAAGCTCCAAGCAGCTGGCTTAGCTCCGAGGTATTTTTAGCTACAGATCCAGCCCCTTCCATCACCACAACAGTCGAGTCCAAATCAAACGCGCTCCAGGCAGGTGGGACTGGGGTTCTGCCAGCCTCCTGGCCAGCAGGGGTGGGTAGGCAGACTGGGGCCAGTATCGGCTGTTCTGCCTGGGCCCAGGCCGGACTGGGAAAGCACACTTGTTCTCATTTCCCGCCTCCACTTTCGTGCCAGCTTGTGCTGTCATGAGCAGAGATTCACAGCCCCATTTCTTGGATGGAAAAAGTGGACACTGAGGTCTGAGGCTTTTGAGGACAGTCAGGAGCCCCCCTTTGGGCTTGAGTGACGCACTCACGAGCTTCTGGTCCTCTTCCTCCACCACCTGGAATGCCTTGGCTACCTCCTGTGGTCCTAGGGAACCTCGGCCCCAGCCCTGCCTCCCCAGCCAGTCACAGCTCCTCCCTGGTCACCCTGGGGACCTCAGGGCCCGGCTGGTGGCTGTGCTCCTCTCCTTCTGTCCCCCAGTCCCATGGAGCCTGGCAGGCAACTCCTCCATGATCTGAACCCCGTTACCTTGACAGCCCTGCCTGGCCTCCCCTCTCATGGCCCAGCCACCCCAGAACCTGAAGAGGTTTTCTAGCTGCCGTGCATTTGTCAGGCCGGGTTACCCACCCTACTTTTCCTGCCTGCCCTCCAGTGCTGCCAAGCACAGTGTGCCAGCCAGCACTCAGCCTTCTGTAAAGGGTTCCCCTCGCCCAACCTGACCTCCTGGAAAGCTGGAGCATAACTGCCTCTCAATAAACGTGTTGCAAAAAAGGAGTGGATGAGTTGCTGTGCATTTGTCTAGGGGGTGCTTGACCCAAGAGACTCCCCTTTGCCCAGTGCCCGGAGAGGGCGTCCACTGAGAATCTGGGGTGCCTTCTGGCCTCCCCTTCCCAGCTCTGCCGTGGTCTTGGGATTCTGTGGGCGGTCGCTGCTGCCCTCTGGTGGTCAGACCGTGCCTTCCTTGCAGCGGCTGAGAACCTTGACCATGGAACTGCCAGGTTGGCGGTTTTCCTCCAGGAAAGTGAGGTTTACATGAGCCTTGCCGGGATCTTGAAAACTGGGAGTCTTTGGGGTGGGATCGCCAGCAAAAAGATCTTGAGTCCTGCCAGCCCCTATCTGCGGAAACTACGGAAGGTCACTTGCCCCCAACTATGCTGCTGTTGAGGTTTTGTTAGAAATGGGCTCTTCTACCCCAGCTGGTAGGATCCAACTCTCGGCCATGCTCCCGTGCCTATCTGCCGTGGAGCAGCTCCAGGGAGGTCCCTCTGCCACCCTGTCCACTCACCTGGCTGGTGCAGAGGGCAGTCATCCTGCCCGGGGTGAGGGGTAAGACGAGGGGTGGGGGTTACGGGTGATTCAGCCAGCAGCCGTGATAGCACTGCCTACAGTAAGTGCTCAACAAAAGCTGTTTTGATCATGGGACGGGAGAGTTGGGGGGATTCCTGAGATGAAGGACATGTGGCTGCTGGCAAGGAAACGCATTTTCTTACATTTCTTGATGGGTGTGGGGTTAGTCTCCAAAGCTCAAGGAGAGGGATCAAGCTGACTTCAACTAGAGCTACTTCAATCTGCCCCTCCCTGACGGCGTCTTGCGTGGTTCACGCCTCTGGCTCCTGTCGGAAGGAGGCGCCCGCCCTTCGTGGTTTGGGGCCAACCTGCGGCCGGCGCCGAGACGATTGTCCGGCAGAGGGCGCTGGACGTCCACCCTGCAGCCCGGGGTCGGGGTGCGGGTAAGCGGAGCCCAGTTCCACACCCCGAACCCGCGTACACGCAGGCGTCCCTAGCCCAGGCGAGGTGGGCAGACACGACCCTCGCGTCAGCATCTTCCCTGGTGCCACCGCAGCTACCTCCTGTGGGGAAACTGAGGCCAGAGGCGGACATGCGCCAAGCCACGCCGCTGGGGCAGTGCAAAGTTGGGCTCTTCCCGGAGCTCGAGGCCTGGGGCTCCTCGCACCAGGTGCACAGCCAGCCAATCCGGGAGGTCCTGTCTGGCCGCGCCGGCCAATCAGAGGGTCCCTGCCGTAGGCGGAGCCTGCCAATCAGGGGCACCTGGAGTCGCTGGGCAGCCACGATCGGGTCTCGCCGGCGAGGGGCGCGCCGTGACGCGCAGAGGGTGGCGGTGGGATGGGGGTGGGAGCTTCTCTCGCAGCTGAGCCCCGTTTCTCCGGTGCCGCAGTATCCCTGGGACTGAGAGCTGAATACCCACACCCAGGGCTGGGACCTTAGCAGAAAGGAAACTGAGGCTGGGAGGTCGGCCGGGAGGCTGCCTGGCGGAGGTGGCGCCGCTCTGAGTGGGCGGGGCTAGTTCCGGCCCCGCCCCGCCCCCCCCGACCTCTTGGCTCCGCTAGTGCCGGGCGCGCAGCCGCCAGTGCTGCGGGCTCCGGGCTATGGATGCCCCCGGGGCCCCGGCCCCGACCGCCGCCCCCGGTCCGGGCAGGAAGGAGCTGAAGATCGTGATCGTGGGTGACGGCGGCTGCGGCAAGACCTCGCTGCTCATGGTGTACAGCCAGGGCTCCTTCCCCGAGGTGAGGCCCGCAGCGGGGCTGGGGTGGGGGCGATGGACGCCCCTCAGCCTGAGCCCAGAGCCCCGACCCTCGGTCCCCGGCGTCGCGAGTACGGAGAGGCGGCCGCCACCCCGGGGCGCCCCTCGGGAATTCCAGAGCCCAGCGGGTTGAGGGAGTGCTGATCCGGGACGAGTGAGAGGGGTGGACAGTGGGTTTAGCTGGAACCTTGGCCCCCGCAGGCCCCACTAAGGACCAACCGACCCCCTCTCCCGCAGCACTATGCCCCGTCGGTGTTCGAGAAGTACACGGCCAGCGTGACCGTTGGCAGCAAGGAGGTCACCCTGAATCTCTACGACACGGCCGGTGAGTGCGCCTGCGCCCCCGGGGTCCCGGGGTTCCGCCCGCCCGAAGGGTTTCCCCTCCCGGGCGTCCCCCACCGGGCGTCCCCGCCCAGCAGCCTTGCCAGGGTCCTGGCCGGCTCTTCACTCCTGGAGGCCGCTCAGGGGCGCTGGCTGCGCGACCCTAGAGGCCAAGCCCTATATGTAAGTGGAGAGTGTGGAGGAGGAGGTGAACTCCGGGGCCACCCTCCCAGCTCTGTGCTGAGAGCCCACAGCTCGTTCCTCTCTTGTGGTTCTAGAAAGCAGTGGGCTGCTCTTGGGCCTCCCATGGTTCCAGGATTGCTGCGCTGCCTGCTGTGGTCTCTGCAGACTCTGTGGGCTGCAGATTTGAGCCCCCTGGTGCTCGGATTGCCTGGGCTGTGTGTCTGGGTCCTGTGGTTCTGGGATGCTCCCGGCTGCAAATCCTGCGCTCTGCAGCCTGAGGCTCTGGGGTCCTGTGGATGCGAGTTCTGTGTCTGCAACTCCCAGGATTCCACGGCTTGCAGTTGGTGGTTCTGGAATTGTGTGGCTACAGTTATTTCTGTGCTTTCCCAGTTCCCTGGGACAAAACCAGACAGTGTAGAAAATGAACTGAGGAAGGAACAGAGCACTGGGGGCAGGGGCCCCACACCAGGCTCTGCCTGCCACCTGCAGCCCCCCGTGGGTGGTCTACGGATTTATGTGCAATTGCTTGGGAGTCGGTGTTGTGAGGGGCGGGGACCGGAGAAACGCAGTCAGTGGGAGGACCCTGACTCCCTTCTGGGCTTCATCAACATTGGGGACCAAAGGTTGACATCCCCAGGTGAGGCCTCACCCCACCTCTGTGACTCAGTGTTTAGTGACCTGCAGGGAACCACGTCACCAGGTGGCCCTCTCCTGCCAGCCAAGCCTTGTATGTGTGAGGTGAGGTCAGACACTGACGCAGGATGGAACCAAAATCCAGACACCTCCACCCCCAGGTAGACCTTGGAGAGGACCCGAAAAGGGGCTGTTCTAGCTCAGAGCCCCCTCCATTCCAACTTCAGCAGGTCCTACCATGGTCTCTGAGAAACCTGTCTTTGTGGGATGTGGGCCCTGTAGGGCCACCCCCAAAACAGGGCCTGTCTCTAGCCCCTGGTGAGCTGAGAGAGCTGAGACATCAGAGGAATTCCCGAGGCGTGGCCCAGAGGGTAGTAAGAGTCATGGTCTGGGACACTTTTACTTTCATGTTTCTTGTCCAGGAGCCAGGGAGGGGCAAGGTCATTAACCCCACTTTTTGAGTCAAGTGCTCCTGAGTGGAGACATTTACAGCAGCCCACTGCCCTGCAAGAGCCAGGAGGCTTTTTCTGTCCTCCTCCTCTGCCCTCAGGGCCTCCCCTATCAGGTCCCGGGGTTCACTGTTCAGGGCAGCCTCCACATCATGAGAACAGGGATGGCCTTTCTGGCCTTGCCCAGAGAGCGATGCTCAAGGAACATGTCAGAGTAGATTGTGGTGTGGAGATTCTGGAAAGCTGCAAGGTGATGTAGGAAGAACTTGTGCAAAGAGCTGCTACCGGAGGGATGGAGGAGCATCCCCTGCTACAGTTACCAGGAGCAGGCGACCACCGGCACTATGGGGATCCCATCCACGGTCCCATCCTGTTCCTGCCACCCTCTTTGGAGTCAGATCTGGGCTTTGACCGCAGCTCTATTGGCTACGTATCATTGGAGATGTCTGGGCCTCAGTTTCCTGATCTGTCATGAGCACTAAGAGGGTCATGAGGATTAAATCAGATTAATATATTATGTCCACCAACCTGCCCGACATGGTGAAACCCCATCTCTACTAAAAATCCAAAAATTAGCTGGGCATGATGGCGGGCACCTGTAATCCCAGCTACTCGGGAGGCTGAGGCAGGAGAATCATTTGAACCCAGGAGGTGGAGCTTGCAGTGAGCCGAGATTGTGCCATTGCACTCCAGCCTGGGCGACAGGGCGAGACTCCGTTTCCTAGCACTTTGGGAGGCTGAGGCAAGAGGATTGCTTGAAGCCAGGAGTTCAAGACCAGCCTGGGCAACATGACGAAACCCCATCTCTACTAAAAATACAAAAAATACAAAAATTAGCCAGGCATAGTGGCACACGCCTATAGTCCCAGCTACTTGGAAGGCTGACACAGGAGAATTGCTTGAACCCAGGCGGCAGAAGTTGCATTGAGTTAAGATCACGCCACTGCATTCCAGCCTGGGCAACAGAGCGTGACCCTGTTTCAAAAAATTAAAATTAAAAAAAATTAAAAAGACCCTTCTACCATCCCTGCCCAGCCCTAGCTCGATCCTGTGCTTTGGAATCTACAGTGCCATGCCCTGAGCTGGCCCCCAGCCCCTGCTGCAGTGGGGAGATCTATCTTCCCTGGCAAGTCTCTTCCAAGCAGCAGAGAAGCAGGGCTCATGGGAGGAGGTTGGCCTCATAGTCTGACAGACCAAGGAGGGGTACCCAGGGAGAAGAAATCTGGCTGCTCCCTGTAGGGGGTGTCCCCCCATGACCGGGGAAGGCCTGCTCATAGGAGGAAATCCCCTGGTCAGTGAGTGCCACCAGGGAGAGCCCAGGTCCCAGTGCTTGTCATGGAGCAAGGCTTGGAAGGTGATGGAATGAATGGGTACTAGATCCGAATGCCGGAGATGATTTCTCTCTGCCTGCAGGTGGACGGCTCTCGGGAGAACATGACAGAAAGCCATGGCCAGGAGGTCACATAGAGAGAGGCAAAAGGCCAAGAGGGTGAGGGAATGGCCAAGCCAGAAATGAGTCTAGTAAACGTAGTTGTAGAAAGTTCTAGAACCCAATGGGCTACACCCAGTGGCGGAAGGGGCGTCTTCCCAACTGGTGGCCACCAGAGCTGTGAGACAGGGGTGGCTCTCGGAGGCTGAATTTCTCCACACCCAGACCTGCCCACAGGAGCCCTGGTGGAAGGCCTGTCTGGCTGTCTCCATCCTGAGGAAGTAGTTAGGGACACCACAGCGGAGGGTGGGCAGATGGGGTGACAGGGCTCTCAGGGCTCAGAGGGGAAGGGGCGGGGGCCGTGGCACCCACTGCTCTGTTGGCCTCACCCGGGCCCCGACATCCTCTGAGGCAGGAAGCTGCGGTGAAGTCTGAAGTTTCCTGGGCAGGGAGAGGTGGGGTGAGGTGGGCTGTGAAGACGCAGATGGGAGACTGAGCTTATCGGGGCCAAGGTGTGGGGTCCAGGGTTGGAGGGGCACAGAATGGGGTGGGGGTTGCCCTGGGAGCAGTGGTCCCCTTCTCAGCCTGAGATGGGAACAGAAAGAAAATTGGCGGGCAATGGAGTAGGAGTTGCTAAGACAAGGAACCAGGGACAGGTGGGCGTCGTGAGCCCCAGAAGCACCGGAGGCCTGGGCTGAGCCAAGGCTGGGGTCACCCAGAAGGTGGTCTCAACTCCCAGCTGGGGCTGCGCAGCCCCTGTCTTCCTGGGGAAGCACCGGTGGCCCCAGCAGAGTGAGTAAAAGTGGGTTCCTCTTCTGACAGCTTCCCTTCTCACGCTGCCAGCACCCCTCCCTGACCAACGCCCCAGCTGGAGCTGGGGGCCACCTGCCCTGTGTGTCCTCCTGAAGATTTGAGGTCTTCTCTCCTTAACTCTGCCCTGGGCCTTAGAGACCCCTGTCCCTGGAAGCAGGACTGCCTTGGCAAAGCCTCATCCCACCAAGAAAATAGCCCTGTGTGCGGCATGAGCCTCCCTTCCCCCAGCCCTGCCGCAGCACCGCCCAAGTGTACGTCAGGACGATGGGCGGCTTCACGGGCCTAGAGACTTCCTCACCAGAAGCACGTGCATCCTTTGCGTATAATTCCTGGGTTTTTTTGTTTTTTGGTTTTTGGTTTTTTTCTGGTGGGTGGGGGCTGTGGTTAGAGACAGGGTGTCGCTCTGTCACCCAGGCTGGAGTCTGTAGCATGATCATAACTCACTGCAGCCTCAGCCTCTTGGGCTCAAGTGATCCTCTCACCTCAGCCTCCCAAAGTGCTGGGATTACAGGTGTGAGCCACCATGCCTGGTCTCCTGGGCTGTTTTAATCTCTAAGCCCATCTGCAGTGGCTGGATGGGCCCCCCTGTGACTACGGGCAGGTGACATGGACCCTTTCAGCCCCAGGATCATTTTTGTAGAATGTAGAGGGTAATGGTATCACCTGGTGGCTGGGAGGCCCCTAAAGCTTCTGAGTCCAAAGATTCTGGAGGTTCTGACCCCCCGCCATGCCAGGCTATTAACTTCTCCTGGAAGTTTCTGTTTCAAGAGTAACCCAATAGCCTTCTTCCTGCCTCCCAGCACTGCCCCCGACTCTGCCCCCGCCCCCGCCCCCGGCCCGGCACCGGCACCGGTACCGCTCCCGCTCCAAGCTCCAAGCCCGACTCTGCCCCCGCCCCCGCCCCCGGCCCGGCACCGGCACCGGTACCGCTCCGGCTCCAAGCTCCAAGCTCCAAGCTCCAAGCTCCAGGCTCCAGGCTCCAGGCTCCAGGCTCCAGGCCCCAGGCCCCAGGCCCCAGGCTCCAGGCTCCAGGCTCCAGGCCCCAAGCTCCAGGCCCCAAGCTCCAGGCCCCAGGCTCCAGGCTCCAGGCTCCAGGCTCCAAGCTCCAGGCTCCAAGCTCCTTCTCCTGAGCTTTCACCCTCCAGATGAGCGGTGGGGTTATCCCTGTTCTCACCCCCTCTCCCAGATAAGGAAATTGACACCCAGAGAGGGAAATGTGGGCGTCAATTCGAGATGTGGAGGCTGCCCTGAACAGTCCCGCCCAGAATGTGCATGAGGGAATGGAACCTGACCCCCGACTCATATGAGAGAAGGTATTTATTAACAGTACACTCCCCCATCCCCAAGTGGGCATGGGATTGGTGCACCCGGAAGTACATCCTCTGCAGGCCTGGTCCCCCCAACCCCCCATGCCCCAAAGGCCCACACTGAATCCTAGGGAAGGCTGGGCTGGGCAGAGTCAAGCCAGGACGGCAACCTGGAGGAGGCGCTGGAGTC